ATTTTAGGGTTCAGAAAATGATACTCTATAGTAAAGACCTCTGAAATGAAGTCTCTGTCTCTTGTCCTCCTGTCTCTTGCCCTTCTTTCTCCCTGTAAGCAAGCTATGTGAATTAGAATTCTTCTTACCTAAGGTGATTCATGGAAACTACAACTTTTCCCTAAAAATTAGCCATGAAACAAAAATATTAATATCATTTCCCACGCCTTTCCAGAGTTGTTTATAAATTTTGATATACTTTATTGGATCAGAGATTATAAGACTCCCAGTCTAGAAAGCATTCTGCTCCATCCCCAAAAGGAAGAAATGCTTCAAAGAGAACAAGAAGGACCTAACAGAGGCCTTGCTCAGTTTTCCCTTTCAGTCTAGTTTTTCTGAGATCATACACATTCTGTTACTTCTGTGGGGCCATCCATACTATACTGAACCTAAGCAGAAATAAAGATAATACTCCCTGTGGGTAAATACAGATAGTACTCTCTGTGGATCACTCTTTGGGACTTTTGTCTGAAGGTTTCATGTGTTATGTAAAACTATGAGCACATTAATTTGTTTTACATTTTCTCCTATTGATCTGCCTACTATCTGTTCATTTCAGTGTAAGTTCAGGGTGCAACAGGAACATTTTCCTCTACTTCTACACAACTTTAAGACAAGCAGTCATAGAAAAATTTATATGGGGGCAAAAAAAGGTAAATAAAGGGTCGATGATACCTTCAAGATGATGATGTATCATCAACCTAAAAATCCCTCCAAAAGTAAGATTAAGCATATTAAATGACATGACTTTATTTCTCTGTAATCAAATGTGGGAAGAATGCATTGGAGGAACAACAACAACAAAATAGAGTGCCTAAGACAGCTGGGTAAGGAGGTGCATGCCCTAACCAAAGTATGTGGGAGGCTGAGGCAGGAGGATCAGTGTAAGTTGGAGACCAGCATGAGCTGCTACAAAGTGAGCTCAAGACCAGTGTGAACTGCATAGTGAGACCCTGTCTCAAAAAAAGAAACAAAAGTGACTAAAGATGCAAAGTATTAAGGGATCAAACCAAATTTAAAAGCTTCTATGTAGCAAAAGAAACAACCAATAGAGAAAAGAGAAAACCTATAGGATGGGAGAAAATTTTTGCCAGCTATTTGGACAGAAGACTAATACTTAGAATATATAAGAACTAAAACACACACACACACACCCAAACAAAAGATGAATAAAAAATTGGGCAACTAAAATGAACCGAGGGCTGCCCAGATAGCTCAGCGGATTAAAGTGCATGGTTAGGCAGACACAGGGCCCAGGGTTCAATCCTGGGCATGCTGAGAGGGCGACTGAAACTGGGCGTGGTGGTGCGCTCCTGTAATCTCAGCGCTTGGGAGGCTGAAAACAGATGAATCACTATGAGTCCAAGCTGTGTAGTGAGACCCTATAGGCCCTGTACTAAATACAAAAACAAAACAAACAAAACAACAAAAAAGACCAAATATTTCTTAGAAGGAGAAATACAAATGGTCAATAAATACAGTACACAGAAAGGTGTTCAACGTCTCTGGCCATTACAGAAATGCAAATTTAAACAACACAGAGAAACCATTTTATTCCAGAAAGAATGGCTATCATCAAGAAATCAGATAATTACAAATGCTGATAAGGTGGGGAAGGGGACTCCTTCTGTATCATTTTTGGGAATGTAAACCAGTGCAATCATTATGGAAATCAGTACAGATGTCTCAAAAAACTAAAAACATTTTTATTTGATAAAGCTATGCCCCTTCTAGGTACCTTCCTGAAAGAGATATCTCTTCATATTACACATTATAATATTATCACATATTACAGTGATACATATAGTGATAATTGTGTTTATAGAAGCACAATTCACAATAGCTGAATCTTGGTGGTGGCCTAATGTCCACTGATAGAGAAATGGGTTAAAAATGTAGTAGTTATGTATAATACTACTATGCTATAAAAAGGGATAAATTTGAGTCATTTGTAGGAAAAGCAATGTATTTTGAGACCATCTATGTGAAGTGAAATAATTCACACACAAATATTACAAAATATTTCTTTAATGAGAAACCCAAAACATAAATTAAAAGCAACATGAATGATAGATAATAGGAAATAGTGAGCTACATCTTTTGTATATGGGAGTGGGTCAAAGAAATAGAGGAAATGGGAGGAAAAAAGAGAAGGGGATTACAAAAGCAGAATTAAGATGTGTTATATACATGTGCCAACTCCCCACAGGGAATGGGATCATTATGTACTATAAACATGTATTAATAAAAAAGTATGCTATATAACTGCAAAGATACAAATGTATAACTAATATCCATTGAATATCTCTGTATCAGGAATGGTTTTAGAGCATCAATTAACTCACGATTGCAAATAAACTTTATGAGGTAGCTACTATTATCTCTACAAGAAGTTAAGTAACTTGTTCAAGATCAAATAAGTTCTAAGTAATAACAGTCAGGATTCTGAGCCAAGAGATCAATAGTTAACAGATTCCTTCCCTAATATGTTGGTAAATACCAAAGAATTTTTGATTAATACAAATTATTTTCTTATCTAGATGATTTCACTAAATCCTTTCCTTGTCTCTAATTTTGATTTCATTAAATCTACCTTTCAACGCCCATCATTTTGGCACACTTACGTAATCCTAGTATTCTAGCGGCCCAGGCAGGAAGATTCTGAGTTCAAGGCTAGCCTGGACTATGCCAAGAGATCCTGTCTCAAACAAGAATCAAATGCAAAGAATAAAACTACTGTTACACTGTATGAAGCAATCTGCTTAAATGGCATCTGTTTTGACGCCTAAGATGACCAAGTCTTTGGGGATAACCAATTTCCTTTTCTGTTACTCCTACAGACTTAAAAATCTGTTATAGACTTAAAAATCTATGCTGGTTGTCCAAAACATTTGTGAAGCTGAGGCAGGAGGATTGTTTAGGGGCCAAGCCTAGCATGGGCTACATAATGCATTCAAGACCTGCCTGAATTACAAAGCAAGACTATCTTAAAAACAAAACAAAACCATCCAAAACAACTAATAAACATTTGGTACTTATAGTGTACACTATGTACATGCTTATACCTAAAGACTACATATTTTTAGAATGTCTATTCACTTTATTCCTTTTCCTGAAATACCCCTCATTTCTTGCACTATTATCTCATTTAAGCATCTTTTCAGATTTACTTTTATTTTCTTTGGTAATTTTATGGACTTTTTTTTTTTTTTTTTTTTTTTTTTTTTTTTTTCACTGCTGTTTTTTTTTTTTTTTTTTGTACTGGGAATCAAACTCAGGAGCACACACTTGCCAGGCAGGCACTGTTTTGCTGAGCTACATCCCCAGCCCTTCTTTGGGAATCTTATGAAACCCAGCAGGGGCCCTCCTCTAATAGCACTTTATTGAAATTACAGTACTTGTCTATGAATTGGTAACTCTTTATGTTTCTTTGAGAACAAGAGCTATTTCTTTTTCTTGCATCTGTCCCCTCCTTGCACAATCTCAGGCACAAATTAAATGTTCAGTAATTTAACACCTCCTCAACCCCAGCCCATGCTGGTGATGAGCCCAGGTCAACTAGGTTCTACCATCCAAGCACACACCACTAGGCTTTACATGTTGAGTTTCTGAACACTCCTTAAAAAAAAAAAAAAAAAAAAAAGAAAAAAGAAAACAGAAAAAGAAAAAATAATCAAGAAATGTGAAGTTCTAAAAAAAAAAGATACATTAAGTTCTAGCCTCAGTTCTGTTCACTATGTCATTTTTTTTTTTTTTTCTTTTTCTTTTTTTGGCAGAACCGGGGATTGAACTCAGGCCCTTGTGCTTGCCAGGGAAGCAGTTATGTTACTGAGCCATCTCCCCCTGGCCTCTTCACAGTGTCATTTTAAGATACTTCACTTTCTGTGCTTACCTGCTACATCTATAATTCTACAGCTCCTTTGGATAAAAAGTCTGCATAACTTTTACTTTTGTACTCTAATAATAACTGGTATTTAAAAAATTGTTTAACCTCAAAACATGGACATCTAAATATAATTCCATTGGAAAAAAAAAGGAAGATGAAATCCACATGAGCTTTTTTGCAGCGCTACCTGGGAAGGTAAAAATTAGCAGTATTGTTCTGAATGAGGGGTGGGTGTACTGGCCTGTAATCCCACCACTCTGGAGGCTGAGGTATATTCTTGATAAAATTTTACTTTATCAAAATAAAAATTAAAAAATGGGATGAGGATATAGTTCCGTGAAAATGTTCTGGGCTGAGTCCTTAGTACTACTACATAAATAAAACAGGATGTCTTCTAAGAAATTGCCACCTAATAGAATGACTATATAAACCTATGCAATTCTTTACAATATGCAGACATCAAAAACTGACATGGGGAAATGCTGACCATGCCCGAAGAAAGGTTACAAAGTTGATTATATTTCACTTGAACAGAATGGACATATAACTAGGACGAAAAAGTACCAATAAAAATGACAACAGCACCTTCAACATATTTTGAAAATCGAAATGAGTGATAATTACACGGTCACAATTCCAAAACTCTTAGCTGAAATAAAGACGGTGAAGGTTCATAATATCAGAATTGGGTGAAAGTAATGGGAGGTGACTCAACAAAGTGTCATCACTTGGTCCAATGATAAAGGAGAACGTGTTTCTGTCCTGGATTGTGAAATTCTCAGTACTGAAGCGCAGACTGCGTAGAACAGCAATTGGTGAATTAAGAAAGAGTAAAGTCATCAACCTTACCTCTTTCCGAAAGGAAAAAAGGACGGGCAGTCGTCAATTCCTAGCGCCTGGCCAACTTTTGCGCGGCCGGCCCCGGCCCCAGGGGAAACCTCGCCTCACGCGCGCGCCTGCGCGGCGGAGGACGACTGCCCCGGCCCCTTCTCTTCCCCGGCGCTCCCCGAGAAGTTCCCCGGAGAGCGCGACGAGGTGCACAGGATAAAGGAAGTGGCTCTCGCTCCCCACTTACTTGGTACTCGATCTCCAGCGAGGCCTTCAGCGGCATGGGCTGGTAGAAACACTCCTTCTGGCCGGCCGGAAGGGTAAAGGTAAAGTCGCTGTCTAAGGAAGGCGTGAAGCCGACCGTCCCGGGCAGCCGCAAAGCGACCAGGAAGAGCAAGGGGAAGGGCAGCCAGATCGTGTCACCCATCCCTGCGGGGGCGAAATCTGGCTGAAAGCCGCGTGGGGAGATGTGGGACACGGGCGCCTCGGCTCCTCTTTTCCTCTCTGGACTCCTCGTAGCAGGGGAATCCAGAGTCTGCAAAAAAACTTCAGGTGGCGCCTGAAGCACCAGCAGCGGCAGCAGCAAACGCTCTAGGGGGGAAGTGATGTCTTCACTCGGGCAGAGACTTAAGGCGGGGCCAGCGGTCCCTCTCCGCACCCTTCTTAGCCTAGGCCTCCTCACGCTGTCCCTATCGCCGGTTCCCAGGGCTTCCTTTACACCAATGGGCGTCAGGGCCATAATCATGGGAAATGTAGTCCTGGGCGAGGTCGGCGAGCCGGCTCAACGGCGCCCTGCAGCCACGATCCCAGCAGGCCTTGCGCGCTTGCGTCAGAGCTGCGCGGGGCGGGGCTGCGGCCGCGGAGGCGAGTCCCAACGGCTCCCGCGGCGGTTCGAACGCTCAGCTCCCGGAGTTCAGTGGTCTCGGTTCTAGTGAGTCCGAG